ACTTAGAAGCACCCACAGGAGAATTGGGTACGCTTAGCTGGCAATGAAACCGATAGTCCTTATTGTGTTTTTTTTTTTCCCAAAAGAAAACGGCGCCTTTTGGCTCCAGCTCCAGCGTCAGTCCGGCGGTGCCTATTCCACCGGCAAGTCAGAATGTGGCATACAACTCACTCTAACGCTTCTTACCTTCCCTTCATGATAGGGAGACCCAAGCGGGCGGTGGCATTGCTTACTTCCTTTGTGGATGCATGTGCCTCCCCTAAACCCCTGCCTACGTTAGCTTATTGCTATTGGCTCTTTGTACCTTGTCCAGACCTTCCGTTGTAAGTTTCTGCCTCGTCTATTGCTACCTTCTCCCTGCCGTAGAACTTGTCTAATATCATCCTCTCTTCAGTTTGCCTAAAGCCATTTTCTGCTAAAACCCTAAACCCTAGGGAGGCTCCCTGCTTTCTTGTTACGGTATTGATTGATGACACTCCTAGCTGACTGCGTCGGGTTGGTCAGGGGATGGTTCATGGAGATGAGGGGATGCTTGTGGGAGGTAAAGGGGGTTCTGGGCCCGTGGTCTATAGCCGGGTTTCGTTGCTGGGTCTGTTTGGTAGGATAGTCCTTATTGTTGTAGATTTTGCGCACCTGGTTTTCCTCATGAGTAGCAACGACGACGACGACGACGGCAAAAAAGAAGAAGAAGAAGAAGAAGAAGAAGAAGAAGAAGAAGAAGAAGAAGAAGAAGAAAGCACAAGAGATAGAACCAATGACATCTCTTGGTGGGAAGCGTCCCCCTCCCAGGTGCTAGTGGTGTCTGTTTTTATCAGCATCACTAGCACTGGTGGGAAAGTGTGTTTAAAAAAAAAAAAAAAAAAAAAAAAAAGAACCAATGACATCTCCTCCTCTCACCAACCATCATCTCCCTAACATCATCTTCTCCTCTGCTAACATACAATTAATTACAAATAATAAACGAATGAAAGGAACAAGAATCAATTCCCGAGTAATCCCCCTTCACCGGCAGAATTCGGGCCCATACTTGCACCTGCCGAACAACCCAAACCGCTCGCTCACCTCAGCCAATCAACTCAAACAACACGCGCCAAGAAGAACAGAAATAGAAATAGACAGACCACATTCAACTCCTTCATTCCTTCTTCTTCAATGCAAGAGAGAGAGACTTCCACGCAACTATTATCATAGTTCGAAAGCGTACATATGCTGGGCCCACAGGTCGCCTTCCTGGCTGGCCGTTGATATGCTGGACATAGAGGTCGACTGCCTGGCTGGCCGTCGATATGCTGGGCATAGAGGTCGACTGCCTGGCTCGTGGTCGATATACAAGTCCCATCCGGTCCATCCAAACGTAGATCGGCGAATGCCGCTAGGTTTGCTGAACACTGACTGAAGAGAGCCCCACTTGGGCCCCCTTGACTTCGATGAGAGACTCGTGCACTACTTGCGTTGACTGCAGCTGCGGCTATGGTAGTGGCAGTGGTGCTAACTCGTTCAGGGGATGAAGAAGTGAGCGCGGGCCTAGCACTTGGGGCTTAGTCATGAGGGTGGAGGCTGGTGTGGATGAAGCGAGGCCAAAATAAATATGACAAAGTTCTTCAAGGCAGTTCTTGCTTGTTGATGCTAGGCGTTGCCGTGAATCAGCCAACCTCTAAGCCCAGCATACGTTTGGAACTGGGACAGATAGAACTTTCCCGCGGCCGGTACTGCCAGTTACCACTACAGTCTTCCCCCGAACACAACACAACATCATTTTGACTGTATCTGGCCGGAATTACAGCTTGTATACATTCATTTTTAGGGTGCGTTATGTTCGGGGGAAGACGGTAGCCATGAATCAAAGGCAGATGTAATGTGAAAGGAAAAAGTAGCACCCTCGGGGGAAGGATCTAGAGGACAGTGGTGGGACACGCCTAACCAAGCCGTTGCATGGAGGCTGCTTTGCATTGCTGTTTGAACAACAGAATTGGATCTGATGTTCTTCCATAACCATAGTGACTACACTGGAGGGGAGGGCCTGTTAGTAGAAGTCATGGGCCTAGATACAAATGAGTCCACTATTTTTGTTATCGTTATTATTAATGTTATTATATATATTTTTATTTTATTTTATTACTATTATTAGATGTTGAAAAGAGGGTCAGGAAATTTCCAGGCAGAGTACAAAATTACCGGTGTTATTTTCAGGCCTACCAGGCCAAACCCTTTTTTTAGCAAAATATTTGTCACATTTCTCGGTTGCCGAAATTGCAGAACTATCCCATCGACTAAGAGTATACTCACACTAGGCCCTCAAAATGGCAGAAACGCAAAAGCAGCGACTATATGGAGTGCTCCTTTTTCATCAGGACTCAATCTGGCCACTGGTTTTGCGAGACTGACTTTGAGTGCCTAGTGTGAGTATGCCCTGATTGTGGCAACGAACAAGGACAAACGAGTAATTCTCAAAATAACAAGGGCAAAATTGAAAACACATGGGAATACAGAGAATTTGACCGTTATGATACAACTTGGTGGTTGTCCGCCAAACCATCGGTTCTCGGCGTTCTCGCACAACTCAGAGGAGCAATGGAGTGCGAGATCTTGCACAGTACCCACCTCCAATGCGAAATCATGGCGGGCAACGTCAGCTTTGTTGAAGGCCAGAATCAATGGTAGCCTTGCCTTGTACAAGATACCACACGCATAAAGCATATTGCTCATGAATGTGACCGGGCTGGTCGACCGGGGGGTGTCCACCACATAGGCAATGACAGTTGGGAAAGTCGATGCAAAGGCTTCAGTCACAATGGCTCCGGATGCCGACCAAGTGAATATCTCAATCTGCCCAGGAGTGTCCACAAGCACATAGTCGAGCTCGGAGGCTCGCCTCTCCACCAGGTTCATAACCTGAAGTAGCCATCAACAAACCAATCAGCAGTCAACATCCACCATTCCCTTTTCTCTTCCTCGTATTCAAATTCGGCAAGTCATCGTAGTGGCAATAAGCTATCACTCACAGATTTTCTTTAACACATGTATATCCATGTGATGCCAATAACAAGGACCTTGGTACTGCTCAAACAGTTCCAAAGCCCATCTTCACAACCAGAATGGCAGCAACATGAAGTGAACCTGAAGTACCTGAAGTACAAGAGGTACTCTTCGCTCCCCCTTGGGTATATGTTTTGGCAGGACCATTTCTGGTCTCTCTCTCTCTCTCTCTCTCTCTCTCTCTCTCTCTCTCTCTCTCTCTCTCTCTCTCTCTCTCTC